GGGGGGGGGGGGGCTTGAATGGGATATAAATCCACTGGCTGTACCAATTTTAGCTCCCCCCAAAGACCTAACACTGGGAAGGTTTGTATAAGGTTGGTAAGCTTGGTGTTAGTGGTAATTTCTTTCCCTTGACTTCACGTTCTAAAGGATGACAAAGCTCTTGCTTGCTTTTAAAGAAAGCGTAGAACCTAAAATGAGTGAGAAAGCTAATTCTGGTAGTGACAGAGATGGTGCCACACATCAATTCACAGGCAACTAACTCATAAAATTTTTTATTGTTGAATTTTTACACGTTACCTGATTATTCCGTGTAAGGTGGAAACTAGAACTGTTTAAAAGACATACACAAATCTAGTACATCAATAATCGGGGATTTTTCTTTTTTGCTATACTATTTTCACAACCACGGGTGTGCTTGCTAGGCAATATAACCATCACAGAAGCAAACGTGAGGCAGAATACTGGTAAGGAAAACAAAGCAAGAGAGAGCTACCAGATATACAGACAGGCTCGTTCCACGTTCACTACTGCATTTTCAAGCGCCAAGTATTTAACTGCACATTTTTGCTCAGCTAGAAAGGAGGGATTTTTTTTTCTTTTTTTTGGTTTGTTTTCATCAGTGCATGAATGTTTCTTTTCTCGTTTCAGCAGATGGACAAACAGATGGATACTACAGCTATGTGGAATGTTAAAGAAAGGGGGATACTGTGAGACTGGTAGGCCCGGGTATTCTGGATTTTTCCCATTGCAGTGTTCATGCAACTTCCCTGTATTATAGGGTCTTGTTTAAACATGTCTGTGAACTTGGCTGGATGAGTACAGTTGGGAGATCTGGTGACAGGTACCAACAAGCATTAATTATCAGGGCTGGCTGTAATACAGGGAGAAGTCATGGATATTTAAAAATACTTTTTTGATTCAGATCTTGGTGTGATGGAAGAGCAACAACTATGCTGAGAATTGGAGGAAGACAGAGCTATGGTGCTGGAAGCTCTTCTCGACTCTTTGAAACAAGGCCTGCTCACCAATTTCACTTCTCACCCCCTCCAGGCTCCCTATCCCTACCCATATAGTATTAAACCTTGAACAAAAGGCAAATATAGACTTAAAAAGAAAAAAGAAGGCAAATAAGCAGAAGGATAGAAATTTAAAGAGGGAAGAGAAAAAGAAGTCAACAGTCAAAATGTCAGTGGGAAAGAATGTTTAGATTTCAAAATTTAAAAGCCCCGAGCTAAGAAGAACCCAAAGACTGAGTACTCCTCATGTGAAAGGCAATCTCTGCAGAACATTATTCTTAAAGGTATTACCCAGGAGACAGATAAGGCCATTCATAAGATACACAGCTAGTTTTCTTCTTTAGCTTGTGGTTACAAGGAAAACAGATTCCACAACTGAAGTACAAGTCGCAAATCAGTGATGTTGTAGGACAGGGGTTTTAGTCACATGTGTCATATGAGCACTGGACCTTCTCATGGTGTCATAACTCAGTTAACTGCTGCAAAGAATTTCAATTTAGGCTTTGAGTTTTCTCAGTGGAAGACACTGGACATCTGCAGTCATGAACTTTTGAGTGGCAATAGCCCCAACTGGTCAAGTGTCTATAAGCCCCGAGGAGGCAGAATTACTGTGAATTGCCATCAAAGTTGAATGGGAAATGACAGGTGTCTCACTCCAAGTCCCAGCATCACAATATAATCTCTACAACTTTCTGTACAACTTTACAATGGAGCAGTATTTCAATGACTGTTTTGATATCAGTTCAAACTTTCCCAAAAGTTACAGATAATTCAGGTCTATTTCTTCTACCAGTAAGAGTTCTGCTTTAGTTACAAAACCCCATAATCACAGTGTTCAGTTTTTAAAAAAATTAAACACACAGTAATCCTGTCAATGTTAAAAATCAAAACTTCAGAATGCCGTGGCATTTATATGACCAATCTGAGTTTAAGATACAAATACCAGCTGTTTATCCCATGGACCATTTTTGTTAGGCTGAGGCTGTGAAAAATCGAAAAGTCGACGTACGATTCTTTTTTTTTTTTTATATCGCACAAAGGGATATATGTGGAGGGTACAGAGTGACACTGAACAGATCACGGAGCACAATAGACATTAGTTCTCTCCCTCCCCAGCATCTCCTTCATCTCCCTGGTTTTCCGACGTCCACAGCTGCAAGAGAAAAAGAGAGTCATAATCAAAACAGGGCTACTAAAATGTACTCAGGACGGTTTTCCAGTCTATAGCACCTTATCTCCCTCGACTGTTTAAAATTCTCCCTGTACGAGTGCCAACAGTGATGACTGCAAAGGTCAAAACTTTAGTGCTCATTTAACATTTAAATTGAACCAATTTAACACTTTAAAATGTTAACTATACTTATATAAGGTACAAACCTCTTGGGTCTTGGGCAAAAGTGAATTATGAGGTGGCAAAGTAGACTGTGAACCCTCCAAAAGCAGTCACTGAAATCAGTAGTACTTACAGTGAGATTGTCCCTAAGCAACTGCATGATCAGCGTGCTGTCTTTGTACGACTCTTCGTTCAGTGTATCCAATTCAGCAATTGCTTCATCAAATGCCTATAACAAAGAGCCTTTAGCAAAGAAGTCATAGGTTCTCTGGAGCACATTTAGCCCATTTTTATCCTGCTAACAAGTGAATATAATTTCTCTGTCCAGAACTCTGGGGGAACCTAGGCCATTATTACCTTGTTTGCCAGTGGTTTCAGCAAACATAAAATGCATGTTTATAAAGCACCAACCAACGAACCATGACAAAAATTCCTAGAAAAGAGCTTTACTGCACCTAAGAAGTTAGCAGGTATCACTGTTAATACAGCATTCATTCTAGGCAAATTCACGTAATTTTTTAATTACCAAAGACATTTCTAGTAATCCTTAAAAAAAACACACAACCAACAAAAACAAAAAACCCCTACAACTCAAAAGGTCTGGATACAAGGGATAAAGGGAGAACAGAAATACACAACACACAGATTTGATAATGCTATGGGACTTTGAGAATTCATTTCATACTTTTCCCAAATTAAAAAAATTTAAAATACAGTACACATGGGGAGTTACTACAAAAATATTTAGAAAAGGGAGCTGGGTTATCAAAAGATCAGGAGGTAACCCAGCACGCACACAAAACATGGTTCTATTTCATTTCTATAGCCATAACTTCAAATCTTGGTACAAGGAATATAATAAATATACAACGGAGGCCTATAGCCCAAAGCTTGACAAGAAACAACTACCTTCACACTGGATTTTCCACTACTACCCCCCAAAAACAGTAATCAAACAACAAAAATAAAAAAAAGGGCAGGTGTTAAGAAGAAATCAAAAAGTAGGTCTGAATTTATTTCATAAAAGATATACTCCTACCCCCTCAAGTAAGTCCAAGACAATGAGTTATATCCAGGAAATAAGTTACTAAGAACAGCACTGTTTTACTATGATCAGAAGCCATGGAAGGCCTTTCTCACCGTTTTTGCCAGGCTGCAAGCCTTTTCAGGAGAGTTCAGAATCTCATAATAAAAGACTGAGAAATTCAGTGCCAGGCCAAGTCGAATGGGGTGTGTAGGCTGCATTTCTTTCTTACTAATTTCAAATGCTTCCTGATAAGCCTGCTGAGAGTTCGACACAGTGGCTAAAAGAAAGATAAAAAAATATTAAAGGTTGGGGTCTTTCATAGGCTTCATCATATACTGGACCACTATCAAATTATTTTACCAAGCTGGGCTGGATTAAACAACCTATCAAATGAGGGGGTCAGTGTCTCCACCATTTAATTGACAATCATTTGCTAAATGTTTGTTCTAAGCCAAGTACTACTTTAAATGCTTTGGGGGAAAACAAAGACAATTATGAAAAACCCCACTAAAGCAGTAAGAAACACAGAAATAACCTTTTAACAAGACAGAACATAAAAAACAATTATGCTCTAGTGGAAAAGTCATGGACTTCAGACCCGAGCTTGAATTACCAACTTTTATTCACTAGGTGTGTGGCTTGAATTGAAAACCTCCGTAGCCTTGGTTTCTGTTATCAGAAAAATGAACGGATTTCCACCTAAACTCCCAGGGTTGTGTAAGGAATAAGTGAGACTCTACAATACTTGGCACACAGTAGGCACTTAATAAAATACAGCTGTAATTATCACCATCACAGTAATATATGTATGTGATAAAAGAGATGTGTATCACTATTTATATGGTGGTTTCATGCTGTCAAACTTTTAAAAGTTTCACCTCTAAAAAGAGAGCTACCAAATAATCCTCAAGATAAAATTCTCTTTGGAAGCACGACTGCACCAGATTTTTAATGCCCTCTCTGTCTTCCCCTTAGATACATTTTGATCTGTAAACCCCCATGACCTCGTTTATCACAGTTCCGCACAATGCTGTGGTCTTTCAAATTCCAAGTACTGTGATGTCAGTGTGTCAATGGTGAGTAGTCAAAGCCAAAACTGTTAAAATTATTATGAGGGAAGAATGGCTCCACTACTTGTGAAATTTCTTTCTTTTTTTTTTTTTAAAAAAAAAATGTTACTTACTTTGCTTATTGTCTCCAGATGCCACCTCAGAAAGATATCTAAAATAATCTCCTTTCATTTTCAAGTAGAACACCTTACTTTCTGGTTGTGTAGCATTGGGAATAAGATATTTGTCCAACAGCTCCTAAAAAATGATTCACATTTTGTTGAGAATCTGGAAATATTTACAAAATGTTTAAACTATGTCTGAGATTCAAGATACACACTACCATTTCTAGATAATTTTTTTTGAAGATTTAAAAAAAAATTTTTCATCCAAAGGTTTTAAAGGTTTTTAGATGTCTGTTTTCTTCTGTTAAAAATGACTTTGACCATCCATAAGGGGTTGATTAAAGTACAGCTATACAATGGAATGCTATGTAGGCCTTAAAAATGACAATGTGGAACTACACTAATAATGTGAAAAGATTCTCAAAAGAAGTCTGAGTTGGGGAAAAAAAGCAGATAAATACCACATGAATCCTATTTTAGTATTAAAATACGTATGTGTACACGCACAAAAATATGTACAGATAAAGTCTAAAAGGATATTTTTTCAGTTAAAAATGGTTCTCTAGGTGACAGGAACTATCTGTATGACCCTGGACAAATTACCTAATTATCCTGAGCCTCAGTTTCCTCTGCTCTCCAACAGGAAGCACAATAGCCATCTTCTAGGGCAGTTATGAGAAAGAGCTAACGTACATAAAGTGCTTAACATGTTGCCTGGCACATAGTAAGCACTCAAAAGATAGCTACTACTAGTATCAATAATAAATTCCTTTAAACATTTATGCTTACAACAAAAGCAGTTCTGAAGGAGTCCAAGCTTCGTAAACAGAGCAATATTTTCGAAGAGTTGTTTTAGAATGTGGCATCCTGAAAAACTGGTTAAGAGGCAGTAAGTACCATGCGTTCTTCACATTCTTTCAGATGCTCTTAAAAGCTGGTCTACATTTTCAGGAATTATGGAACTTTCTTGCCCTTGGAATACATGCCATACTTCATCTGAATATCAGATGTACCTAACATTCAGGAATTAGTGCACCATTAACAAACCCCCAAATTACCAACAGGCAACAAATGTAGTCATGACATTCTTACACTATGAGTCTAAGGAAAACAGCTCAATGCAAAAGCTGAGTTATAAGGGGATTTAATCAGTAAGTGAGAAGATGCAAGGGGCAGTAGTAATTTTAATATTCTTTGCAGACAGACAGGGTGTAACTCCTTATAGGTTAGGGATGAGAACTGCCTGATGGCTGACAAGCTTTGTACAAGTTTTCAAAAGAAAGGTGTCATGGGCAGTAATTCGGAGAGGCAGCCAGCAGGGGAGGAGGTAGATCCACAAGTGTGAATTCCTTTTCCCTTCAAAGCAGCCCTCACTGTTCATTTTTACCTGATTTCACCTGGAAAAAAAAGAAAGTTCCCAGTGGGCTCAGGATGTGAGGGAAAGACAATATGATCATGATTTGCTCTAGGATATGCACCCCTCCCATCCAACCCCAGATGGTGGTCAGAGTGAAAGCAGTTAGGAATCAATCATCTGACCAAGGCTTCTATAAAACACAGGAGAAGAGAATCCCCAAATGACTGTTGATTTGGCTTTGGAACGCAGGCCCAAACTGACCAACAAGGCTAACTTTCAGACAAAAACAGGACTTTACACTGGGCAGGCATAACTGGGGAGAGGCTGAAAGGCAGGCTCAGCTTTTTGTTCCTGATATATAGAACAGCCTATCTGTAGCTGCACTACCTGTAATCCTGCCTATCTGGATTCAATTTCAAAGAAAAGATGGAGGACCGTTGACTAAATGTTCCTTTTTTTCACAGGTCCTTTTGAAGGGAGAGGAAAATTCCCCATAAGTGATAAGCAACCTCTGATCAAATAAGAGGTGAGAAAAATCACATCATATGCTTAAAAATTACTTGCAAATGGTTCGCAGCTTTCCAGTATATTCAGACACGTTTGTCTCATAAGCTGTTTGAGAGTTTGCATTTGTACAATGAATTAATACAATCTACAAATCACTGTTTGAAACAGAAACAGTGGCCTTACCAGAACATCGTTGCAAATGTCCTGAAGTTCTGCCTCTATCTTCTCCCGGTACTCTTTGCCCATCTGCTGCTTCTTCTCGTTCCTCTCTGTTTTCTGTTCGATGCTGGAGATGACACGCCAGGAAGAACGGCGGGCACCTACCACGTTCTTGTAGGCAACGGAGAGCAGATTTCTCTCCTCATTGGAGAGTTCATGCCCCTGTTCCGTGACTGCCTTCATGGCTGCAGCCATGTCATCATAGCGCTCAGCCTGCTCGGCGAGTTTGGCTTTCTGTACCAGCTCACTTTTATCCATGGTTATTCCCTGGAACAAAAGAAAAAGAAAAAGGATGAGAGAGCACAGGTCAGGCTTCAGGGCGCAGGAAATGCATGTGTGAATCTTCTTCCAACCCATCGGAAAGAAACATACCTACACGTGTAACATCTATTTCCAGATGCTCTCAATAACACTGGCCAGAAGCCACACCTAATGGCTTAGGTACCTTATTAAGGTCTTTTTATTACTTTGGTCAATTAATTTTCCTAACAACCCTACAGGGTAGATATATTCAGTTTCCTTAGTGGAGAGTAAGAAAACTACCAACTCTCTACAGGCTGCTGTGAGGAATAAAGGACCTAATCCATGTGAAGGTGCTCTGAAAAGTTCACGGCATTATATACAAATATCAGGCACTAATTCTGTACATGATATAGGTTGCAAGAGATATGAGTGTATTCTACAATATGCACAGCAACAGAACTTCAAGCTATAATTGAGTTCATTTCAAAGTTTTTCTGAAATAGACAAAAATCTTAGTGGCTTCAGTTTATCATTTTATCAAACCCTTTACACACCAATCAGTGAATACCTCTTAAATTATTCACCTCACCTTAGTAAATTCCCCACTAAAATAATCACCATTTATAGAGAATACAGGAAGTTTTAGATAACATGCAGCTAAAAACTATTTTTTAACCAATACAAAGTATATTTATGTACTGTTGGCTTAAATTTCAATATATCCACCTGTGCCAGTATAAAAATACACTAACTTTAATACCTAACGTCTAAAAAGATAAAATACTACTTAAACAGTAGCAGGAATATCAGTATTTTTAAAACAAATTCTTTCATTACTATATAAATGGTATAACAATTTAAGACTCTGAAAATGGTTAATAATTTTAAAATAGCAAAGGAAGTATAACCTCTATTCACAAACTGGTTTTGCCTTAAAAGTCAACTTCTGTTTTTCAAGGAAGAAATTCTACAGACGGCTCTACCACATAGAAAAAATTTATGAGACAGAGCACGATAAGATACAACCCAAACTTAGACAATTCAGAAGGAGTTGGTTCTTTAGTTCAGAACTTTGGTATTTCTTCCCCCCGCTCATTATCTAAATTATGTTCAGAGCTGTGTTCTACATAAGGCTCCCTAACTCGAAGCTTACACTCAGTGAAAAGGGTCTCACCTTGATCTGTTTAACATCTTCACCCACATCACTAGAATGAGACGATAAGGGAGATAATAATCCTCACGAAATATTCCATTTGCTCTCCTACATTTCCTGTGAACCCCCGTAAGGTAGGAGGGGTGACATGATTAGTTTTGTACAATGAAACATAACCAGAGATGATGCTACTTCCAGTTGAAACTGCTAAAAGCCTATGTGTGGTTCACCAAGCTCTCTTATAGCAGCCACTTAGAAAGCCATGTGTTTTAGATGGCACTGTAACAAAACAGTGGAATTTCTGTAACCTGAGTCTATGAGGTGAAGGAACTCCTGCAGACCTGCACTGGACATGCAATGTGAAAAAGAAATAAACTTTTGTTGGGGTAAGCCATTTAGATGGTAGGGCTGTTTGTTACCGCAATACAACCTAGTCTAATACAAGCACATAAAAAAACACACTTTTCGGGGAGGAGGGGGAACATCTGTAATACTGTCAACAATATATATACATGGTATTCATCATCTTAAAATTATATACTCTCTCAGTATGCCTAACTTTCTTGACCATAAAGTCTTTGAAATCAGGACACTATCTCCATCATTAAATAGCCCTACTTCATTGTTCCTAAAAGAGAGAAGCAGAAAGGAGCCAACTTTCAATGAACTTTAGAAATTTCCCAGTGTGCAGACTAATTCAAAGTCAGCAGTCACTTAGCAGTCCACTCCTAAGTTCATAAAACAGCACCTGTGCAATTCTACATAGGAAAGATTCCAATTAATAAAGTACTGGCCAAAAGCCAATTCAGAGCTAAGCCATCCCATTTAGTATTATAAAAGGGTAATAGAGAAATACAAAGAATCAACACTGCTAAAGGACACCTGGAAACTCTTTGGCCCTACTAGACCCACCCCCCCAATTAAGATGTACTACTCTTCCCCTTCCCAAATATTAAAAGTTAAGTCACACTTCTCTGAAGAATCCTGACTCTCCTTGGGACCTCCCAAATATACACGCCCTATTTCTCAAAATAAAATGTGATATTTCTGGCTTGGGGCCAACTATTTCAAGCTTCTTTGGGATCACTGCAAGAGCTCTTGATGATTGAGAACCCACCATGATATGGAAAGATTGAACATATGCCTTAAATAAAGTATGTTATTTGTTTAAAAAATTTGAATTACACACATAAAAACAACTTACAATAAGCAAAGCCATAGCTAAATGTCCTGATGCCTGCTGCTTATGTAACTTTTGACTTATATAACATGGATTCTGAAGCAGCTAGACCAATTTCAACAGGAAATGGGTTACACAACACCCAGCAGTTTGGAGGAAGGCAGCAGACAACAGAGAAATTAAATTGTTCCTATTTCTACATCTATAATAAACCTTCCATGCACAATATTTCCTTAGTCCCACTGCTTTCAGTTATCTTTAGCCCCCCTTCATGTCTTTGCTACCAGACCCATTCTTAAAGTTCTGATCAAGTCACTTCCTGTTCAAATTCCTTTAAAGCCCCCTACTGCTAACAGTAGTCCGACTTCCTTCCATCAGTGAAGGCTTTCCAACCTATCTTCCCAGGCTTTCCCCAAAACATGCCTTCCATGCAATACGTGCTTCTGTCAAAATGGTTTTCTTACATGGATTTCTTTCTGTCTTCGTCTTTGCTCACCAAGCCACTCCTCTACCTGGAATGTCCTTTCCCATCTACTCTGCATACAGAATTCTTTCCAAGTATGGCTCAAATGTCACCTCCTCCATGAAGCCTTTTCATAAGCTGCTATGCCTGAGCTAATATGATAGCCACTAGCCACACATGGCTAGTGCCACGTTTAAACTGTAATATTTGGAAAATAGTTAAAATTTTAAAAGTACTAAAATTAATTTTACTTGTTTCTTTTTACTTTTTAAATGTTACTACCAGGTAAGTTTAAATTGCATGTGGCTCACATTGTACTTCTATTGGACAGTACTACTATAAACTAAAAATATTCTCACAAAGCATTTCATGTCTTAATGTCTTATCACATTTCTTTGGTACTAAAATTATTTGCATACATCCCTTAGGTCCCTTACAACACCATAAACTCCTTGAGGGCATATCTCCCAAAGCAGCTTGCATGTAACTGGTATGAACAAAAATATCTGCTGAATGAATGAACAGCTCCCCAAATGAAAGAATAGCAAAACTCCAACCTTGGTAGAGCTCTCTCCTCAAATAATTCAAAGTGCCCATTTTTCATAAGCACATTAAACCCTCCTTACATCTGCACCTCACTCCTTATACTTTTGGCACCCTACTTCAAAATTACTTAATTGGGCCTCCACCCTTACTCAGTAACTTTCAGTGACTCTCTTGTGGCTACTCATCAAATCTAAACTCTACCTGGCTTTCAAAGTCCTTCATAACTTGGCTCCTCCAGACCTGTTAGACTTTCTCATCCAGTATTCTCCAAAATGTACCTTTCTCCAGGCTGGACATCACTGAATACTCTATAAATGTCATGCTCAAACATGCCTAAAATTGCTTCTGTACAGTAGTCTTCCCTTATCTGTGGTTTTGTTTTCCAAGGTTTCAGTTACCTGCAGTCAACTACAGTCTGAAAATACCAAAAAAGAAAATTCCAGAAATGAACAATTTAAGTTTTAAATTGCGAGCCACTGTGAGTAGCATGCTGAAATCTCATGACGTCTGGCTCAGTCCCACCCAGGACGTGAATCATCCCTTTGTCCAGAGCTGTAGAGGCTCCCTGGTGGTTAGTCAGTAGCTGTCTCGGTTATCAGATAGGTTATCAGAGAGGGAGGAAGACCGCATTCACATAACTTTTATGACAGTAGATTGTTGTAATTGTTCTATTTTGTTACTAGGTACTGTTAATTTCTTACTGTGCCTCATTTATAAACTTTATCATGGGTATGTTATGTAAAGGAAAAAACAGTGTATTTAGGGTTCAGTACTACCTGTGGTCTCAGACATCCACAAGGGTCTTGTAACTATCCCCTAAGGATAAGGGGGGACGGGACTATTATAGTTCCCTTCATCTAGAATGTTCTATTTACTTCCTGCCTATGCAAGCTCTATCCATCCATCTAGACCCAGAAGGCCTTCCCTTACTACCCCATCCCCAACTGATCTACCTTGCCTATTAATCCAAATACACCTGTAGCCTATTACAAGTCTAGGGCTTCTCTATACCTACATTCAATGTGTTCTATGCTACACATGATGGGCAGTGTACCATTTACAAACAGTTTCACGTGTGCATGTCCTCAAAGAAAAGCTTCACATTTCTCATTTAATGCCTAGAACAGGCCAATCACAAAACTAACACTCAAATAAGTATCTATAAATTTTTTCAACAAATCATTATTGGGAGAGCAGAAAGACAACAGGCTACCTATATGTGGTATGGCGGAAAGCCAACAGGACAATGTGTAAGAGCGGGATCTGCCACTACACAGCTACATGAGCTTATTCAATCTCATTCTTCTCCAATCTATAAATTGGAGACAACAGCTTCTGCCTCAGAAGAGGTGGTGCTATGAAGATGAGGGGCAGAGAATTAAAGAACAGTAAATACATAGGGGGAGGTTAGAGGGAGTCAAAGGGGAACATCTGTAATACTTTCAACAATAAAGATAAATTCAAAAAAAGAACAGTAAATACAAAAAATTTTTGAAAAAATGCATAGTGCATATCATTCCTCTCAGAGTACTTATACATCACAAAATGTGAGCTTGGATTTTTAAAAATATACAACCCATGAGAAGGAAAAGCAAATACAGATTAATCCTGTACAGGAAGTGAGTATGTTATAACATTAACATTAGATACGGCTTCACCCCTCAATGTCCTTAAAATCGACACACATGTTAACTGAAACAGT